AACCGGCTCCCCAGCCAGGCTTCCTCGCCAAGATCCCTGACCCCAGCCCCAGCCGGCCTTCCTTCCATCTCGGAGCCCAGTGCGGTCTGGGCTTGGAGACCTCAGCCGGGGCCTCCACTCTTGAGTCTGAGGCCTCTGTGCCCCGCCCCCTCTAGGGCTCCAGGTCCCTCCTTAGAGCTCTGAGACCCCCATCTTGGTCCCTCCCCTGAGTTGTAGGTCCTGCCCACACCATCACAGACTCTGGGTGCCTTTGCAGAGGCCACAGTGCTCTCCTGCAGGAGGAAGCTGCCAACACCTGGTGGATAGTGGCTTTCAGCTGAAACACGCAGCTGTGGTTTGCTAAAATGCCTAGCATGTCCCATGGTTTGCTGAAACGAGTATAATTTGTTTCCTGCTGGGTTCAACTGCTAGAACCCAGTACAGTGGTGTGTGTGTGTGTGTGTGTGTGTGTGTGTGTGTGTGAGTGAAGGTCGCTAGTGTGACCCTGAGTCCCTCTAGCATCAAAGTCTGTGTTCCTTGCCTCAGGTGGTGCTGGGATGGGCTTCCTGCAGGGCTGGCTGGTGCAGCCTTCCTCTGGGGAGAGGGTCCCCCTGTAAGTCACCTGTGGCTTACATTCCTGCACAAAAGCTGGGAGGTCAGTGGGGCTGTCAGGGTCACAGTGGCCAGAGGCTATCTTCCAGCCAGATTGGGACCCCTTACACCAACCCCAGACCCAATGGACCGACCTACCAGTAGGGTGGGAAGAGCTACCAGGGTGCTGGCCTGGGGGGTCCAGAGCCTGTGGTATTAGGGAGGGGCTGGCAGTGGGCTCTGTGGGTATTGTGCACACCTGGGTGAGGCTCTGCTGCTCCAAGGGCTGCAGGAGGCGCAGGAGGAAGCAGAGGTCCTGGGCATCTGTCTCCGCCAGGCACTGCAGGTCCCGGGCAGCAGTGGTCAGGTCACCTTTCTTGAGCTGGAGCAGGCCCCGCCGGGCCTGGGCTGCTGCTAGGGGTGAGGAGGACTGCAGGGCTGGTTGCAGGTGGATGCCAGCCTCCTCATACCTGCCTGGAGGGATCCAGGAAGGACGGTCAGCATAAGGCTGAGGCAGAAGACACAGAGGTGGAACATGGGGCCCTGGGAAGCCATCACTGCCTTGTCCACCCAGTATTGGCTTGAGGGCCGGCTGCTGGGCGCTTGGCCCCAGGACAGAGGTGGCTGCACATTGGGAGTGCAGGCCGGATGTGTGGACTTCCTGCTGCGCCCCCAACTCTAGGACCCTTGGAAAGGGCTGCAGGTTCTGATCTTCCCAGAGGTCACCACAGCCATTGCTTTCTTCCTGAGCCCTGAGAGCAAGACCCAGCCTGCCTGAACAGCGACAGGGGAGAGGAGGTGTCCTGAAGTTCTGAGGGGCAGACATGGACTGCAGAAGGCACCCCTCAAATGAGTGGTGGAGCAGTTTCCCAGCTGACGTGGGCTCGCAGGAAAGACCACACGTAGCCTACCTGTGCCAGGACAGGCCTGCCTCCCTGAACCCCTGCTGCAGACTTGCACGAGTGAGTGAAGGGCTGAGTGGGAGCCCTGTTATAAAGACCCACTCTTCTAGTCCGGTGCCAGAGGAGAGGGACAGCTGCTCCATGGCAGAGCCCATGGGGATCTGCAGCCCTGGGACTGGAGTGGAAGAGGCCCCAGGAGCCCCAGTGCAGGACTCTCTGTCCTGCTTTGCAGAAAAGAATTTGGAAGGTCAGGGGTGTGGACAAGAGTATGTGGGGTGTGCTCCTGGATGACCCATACCCAGCGCCATGAGGATGTCAGTGAGGAGGGTATGCCAGCCTGGCTGTGCAGCATTGACTCTGGTCAGCGCCTCCCCCATGGCAAGGAGGTCACGGGCATCCTCGTCCATGAGGGGTGCCCTGGTGTCCAGCAGCTGGCTCAGGAGGGCTCGGCAGTGGGCATGGAGGCCTTGAGTGAGTAGCAACTGGGCTTCTGGCTTCAGAGAGTGGAGCTCAGGGACCACGGTCCCTGGGTCGAGCCTCAGGGCAGAGGCAACATCATCCACAGCTTCCTGCAAGGGGGGAAAGGCAGGGTGGGTGCAGGGACATCAGGGAGAAGGCAGAGTGGAACAGTTGGCTGTTAGGTTCTCATCTTGGGGACCCCTGGAAGCTGCTTCCTGCCCTTTCCTGCTCTCCATGGCTGCAGTTCTACCATCCCTCCTGGTCAGGCATTTGAAGACCTCTGAGGTCCTTTACTGGTCTCTACCTCTCTGGGAGGCCAGGCCCCGCATCCAGCCATCATCCCCTGGCTTCAGCCTCCCGCAGGGGCTCCGTTCTGTGGTTGGCCTGTCCACCCAGTGGGTAGGTGGCAATCAGGTGGCCCTCCCAGGGCCTGGGCATTGGGCCCAGAGAAGGCCCAGGGTATCATGAAAGTGTATGAGGTGTGGGGAGCAAAGGGAGAACCTGCCCAGGGACTCAATGCCCTTGGCTCTTTCACTGACCAGGCCCTGGAAGCACACAGGGCCTTCGTGACCACTCAACCGACCAGGGTAAGTCATTTGGCCAGCAACAAGGGGCCACCGAGGCCCTCTTCCTCCTCTGCTGGTCTCCTGAGTGTCCTGTCTGTGTGCCTCTGTCTTCCCTTCCTATCTTTTTGAGGTTAATTTTTAGTGATTTACTTTTATTTCTCTGTTCACCTTTGCCCATTTTTGAACTGGGTTTTTGTTGTTACTGTGGAATTTTAGTCCTTTATGTATTCTGAATATTAAAAAATTTATCAGATATATGATTTGTGAATTTTTCTCCTGTTGTCTTTTTACTTTATTCATAGTGTTCTTGGATGCGCACAATTTAAAAATTTTTCAGAAGTCCAATTTGTCTATGTATTTTTTTGGTTACCTGTGCTTTGGTGTCATATCCAAGAAATCATCACCAAATCCAAAGTCCTGAAGGTTTCCCCCATGACTTCTAAGATTTCTACAGATTTAGATTTTCCATTGAGATCTTTGAACCACTTTGAGTTGATTTTTAAAAATGGCATGAGGTGGACCAGCGATTTAGCTCAGTGGTTCTACCGCCTGCCTTGTAAGTTCAAGATCCTGAGTTTGACCGCTGGTACCAAAAAAAAAAAGAAAGTAAGGATCTGAATTCATTGCTCTGCATGCGGTTTTCCCAGCACAGTCTATTGAAGGTATCATTCTTTCTCCACAGATGGTCTTGGCATGGTTATTAAAAATACTTCGGTTCTGTACGTGAGGATTTAGTTCTGGGCTCTCCATTCTGTTGGTCTATATGTCTGTCTTATGCCAGTGTCACACTGTTCTGATAATGGTAGCTTTATAGTAAGTTTGGAATTCAGGAAGCCTGAGTCTTCCAACTTTGTTCAAGACTGTTTGGCTATTTGGGTTCTCTTTAGACTCCATATGAATTTTAGGATTTTTTTTTTAATTGTTGCAAAAAACATCATTGGATTTTGTAAGGATTACACTGAATCTGTAGATAACAGGATAATATTAACAACAGTATCAAGCCTTCTTGCCCATGAATGTGGAATATGTTTCCATTTATTTTTTAATTTCTTTTTCCTTTTGTTTTTTTTTTTTTTTTGGTGATACCAGGGATTGAACTCCAGACCTTGTGCTTGTGAGTCAGCAGAACCACTGAGCCAAATCCCTGGCTGTCTTTAATTTCTTGTAGCAATGTTTTACAGTTTTAATCACAAATCTTTCTCCTCCTCAGTTAATTCTCAATATCTTATTATTTTTGACACTTTTGTAAATGGATTTTTTGGGGTACTGGGGATCGAACTTGGGACCTTTTGCTTGAGAGGCAGGTGGCGGAACCACTGAGCTAAATCCCCTGTTCTGTAAATGGATTTTTAAACTTTTTTTTTTTTTTCAGATTGTTCAGGGCTGGGGATTTAGCTCAGTGGTCCCACTGCCTGCCTCAGATGGTTCATTGTTCCTGTATAAAATACAACTGTTTTCCCATGTTGGCTCTGTGCCCTGCCACTTGACTGAATTTACTTATTAGTTCTGACAGGTTTTTCACAGACTTCAGGGTCTTTTCCATATGAAATATGATCATTTATAACGTGGATACTTTTACTTCTTTCCCTCCAATTGCATGTCCCTTGCCTTCGTACTCTGGCTAGGACTTCCTGTCCTGTGTTTAGTAGGAGTGGCCAGTGTTTCCCCTTCACCCTGTGAACTTCCTGTACCAAACTGGTCAGCTTTTACTCACTGAGCCATCCTGAATCCCATGAAAAAGCTCCACTTGGCCGCGGTGAGTAGGCCTCTCACTGTGCTGCTGTTTTGCTAGTGCTTCTTTGAGGGTTTCAGCACCACTGTTCACAGGTGCTGTTTGTCTCTAGTTTTCTTTTCTTGTAGCACCCATCTGGTTTTGGAGCTAGGGTACTGTTGGGCTCAGAAAGACTTAGGAATTGTTCTCTTCTCTTCCAGTTTTGAAGAAAAGTTTGAGAAAGATTGATGTTAATTCTTTGAATGTTAGGTGAATTCACCAGTGGAGCCCCTGGGCCCAGAGCTTGTCGTCTTTGGGAGATTTCTGGTCCCTGATTCAGTCCCCTAGTAGTCATAGGTCTGCTCATTTTGTTTCTTCATGACTTAGCCTTGGCAGGTTCTGATTCTTTTTCAAGTTTTCCCATTTCATCTAGGTTATCCAGTCACTCATAGTGCTCCTTTATAACCCTTTTATTTCTGTAGTCTCCATTTTTATTTCTGAGTTTTGTAATTTCAGTTCTCTTTCTGTCTCTCTCTCTATTTAGTTGAAGGTTTGTCAATTTTGATTTTTTTCAAGCAATCAGCTTTAGGTTTCATTATTTTCTGCACTTTTTCTGTTATCAGTTTTGTTTACCTCTGCTTGAATCTTTATTATTTTTTTGTTAGCTTTGAGTTTAGTTTGCTGTTCTTCTAGTTCTTTAAGTTGTAAATTGAGGTCTGTCTTGGATTTTAACCTAAGCATTTGTAGCTCTAACATTCCCCCTTTGCCCTGCATGGTAGTGTCTCGTGAGTTTTGGTGAACTGTGTTTTTATTCATCTCTCCATGTTCTCTGGTTTCCTTTGTTATTTCTTCTTTGATCAATGGTTTCACACCCCGTCCTTCTACAGAAGAGGAGATGGGCATGAGAGGAGAAGCAGTTTGTCCAGGTTCCCTCCCAGGGTCTGGCCCCATGTCTGGGCTTGGGAGCAGCCCAGGGGGAGGACATGGACCCTACATGGGTGCCCCAAGGCCAGAGCAGGCAGTGTAAAAGGTAGCTGGGAACAAGGAACATCCCAGAAAGAGTCCCACTCATGTGAATGGGATCTCTCTCCACCAGCCTGGCCCTCAACATTTTATTTTGAATTGCTGCAGTTTCTATAGAATGTCTTAAATGGGGGATATCTCACTTTAAATCTGAGTCCCATGGACTCCACTGCTATACTCGTGGCAGACATCACTAATCAATGCCAGCATTCATCCCTCTGTACCTATCCTACAAAACCTTTTCAACACAGGGTCTGTGTAGCTACCACCAATGTAGCCAAAGTGACACTTCAGGCCTTCTGTCCCCATAGTCACTCTGAGGGCTTGCATGTCTATCCCTGCACACTGAAATTTGGACCATGGAAGGGCAGAACTCTCAGAAAGTGGGTGTATGGGGATGCAGCTCCTGCTACCTGCAGTGCAGGTGGGGAGGACAGCATGGGGATCCAATGAGTACCTTGCTGCTGGGGACAGCTTGGCCTGCACATTGTCCTCAGGTGGGAAAGGAGATGGTGCCCTCCCCCAACCCCTATCCCAGGTGGGGAGATGGCCCGGCACCTGCAGCTGGTCCAGGGACAGGTACACGAGGGCACGTCCGCACAGGGCCTGTATGTTCCCTGGCTCGGCCCGCAGCACAGAGTTGAAGTCGAACATGGCAGTCTTCTTCTGGCCCAGGAGCCCATAACAGCGGGCCCGGACCAGGAGGGACTCGATGGCTGTACTCCCTGCAGGAAGAGAGTGGTTAGGACACAGCATTCCCTGATACCCAACCAGGGGTGCACAGGGCAGGCGGATGCCAGGGAAGGCACAGAGTGGCACCCTGTGCCTGATGCCCGAGGGGGGGTACAAGGCACCCTTTGAGGGTGGCCCCACCCTTTCTACTCTGTGGTCCTCAAACCCTTCTGTCCCCATGCAGCTGGGGCAGGTGGGAGGCCCTACCTGCAGCAAAGATGGCTAGAGAGAGGTAGGCAATGGCTTCCCGGGTACGGGCCCCACTGTCCACCCCACATGGCTCTGCTCGTAGGATGCTCAGGGCTCTTGCATGGCAGTGGCCCTGCAGCAGCTGCCGGTCCTTGTGGCTAAAGATGTCCAGGGTGGGCTGGAGGCAGGCTGTGTCCCCGGTCTGGACCACCTTCTTCACCAGCTAGGGGGACAGAAGCAGAGTCTCCACCTCTATTCTCTTCTTTCCCGTGCTGTTTCCCCAGCTCACACTGCCCCAGCTGGGCCCTCACTCTGTCCCTGGAGCCCAGGTGGCCTCTTATCTCTTCCAAACACTAAGACTTGCTGAATTGTAGCTGTGGCCACTTGAGTCTTTGAAGGTAATTCATCTCCCCATCTCCTGGTGGGGTGGGAGCCCAAGAGGTCAGGGACTGTCCCCAGCAGGAAAAGAGTGCAGAAAAAGGCAGGACCTCTATCCATGACCTTGGCTACTTCCTGTGTCACAGGAAGCAGAGACCCGCCTTGGTGACCCCCTGGGGAAGGGAACCAAATAACAAGCACAAGGAAAGGGCTTTCAGGTTATCAGGGGTCAGAGACCAGGTTAGGCCAGCAGGGTCAGGCTGTGCTCTGGGTGGGTGAGACCCCTAGGTGGCTCTATGGGAAGGCTGCTGGGGTGGCCTCGGGTCCTGGGAAGGGTAGAATGGTCTTCCTTCTCACCCTTTCCTTCCAGGACACTGGGTGGGGTTTGGATCCCAGACCAGGCCAGGTATGGCAGGGTGTCTGACAGGTCCCTCAGCTTGGATGCCAAAGCCTCAACTTCCCCAGCATCACCTGCTGACTGTCGTGCAAACAGCACTGCTGAATCCCTGAAGCTGTGAGGCTCTGCCATCCTGGGAATAGGGGTCCTCGGAGATAGTCAGGGGCTGAGGGGCTAGGGCCCAGGGTCCCTCTGCTGCCCAGTCACCAACCCCAGGCAAGATCAGGTCCAAGCCTGGTTTGTGTGGGAGCTTGGGAGAGGCTCAGCCTGTGTTCTGTGTTTGGCCCTTGTTCTTCATAACACAGCCGAAGCAAATAGGAAGTACTCACTGCGCACAGGAAGTGAGCTGGGCCCTGGGCACCTACCGCAGTTCATACCGTGGCCACTTGGGAGACGATGCACCGAGGAGGAGACAGGGTCACAGGAGTGAGGGCCTGTGGCTGTGCTAGAGCCAGGGCTGAGCAGGGTTTGCTGCAGTGTGCAGAGCAGGGCTCTGGAAGGCCTGGCCCGGTACCCTCCTCCCTGCTGCAGCCACCCAGCCTCCTCACCTGGTTGGCATCATAGGAGAAGCCCCTGTGCAGCTGCAGCAGGGCTAGCCGTACCAGCACGGTCACTGCCTGGGGCCTCCGGGAAAGGGCCACCAGCAGGGACTTGTGGGCATCTTCCAGTCGGCCCAGGCGGTACAGGGAGTCGGCCACCAGGAGGCGCGAGGCCTCATCCTCTGGGTCCAGCTCCACCAGCAGCGTGGCCAACTGGTGCACACCGCAGGCGTCCCTGTGAGGAGAGGGGCTTTGCATGGGCCGGCTCCTTCCCGCCCCTCCACCTGCTCAGGAGGCTGGATCTGAACCTCTGGCCGCCGCTTCCAGTACACCCTTCTGGTCCTCACCTCCACCCTGGGTCTCTACTGTCCCACAGGCACTTTACAGAAGGAGGAACTGAGGCAGAGCAGGCAGTGGACGGCTGACCCTTGAGCAGACCCAGCCTCAGTTTCCTTTTCTGCAGAGACAGATTAACACCTTGGCTGTGCAGGCTCAGGGGTGTTGTTTTATAATCCAGCTGCTCTTGGAATGTTAGCTAACGATTTCCCACTGTGACAGCAGCAGAGGCGACAAGTTGCTCCTCAGGGATCCAGAGCAAAACTGATCCCAGGAAGCTGAGGGAGCTGGGGTGTAGCTACATGGGGGGGGGCATCAGAGATGCCTCTAGGCCTCGGGTGCCACCCCTTGGTAGGCTGCCCCACAGCTGAGGCTCAGGCTGGAGATGGGGAGGGGGCTCCTGAACTTGGGGGCCCTGTGAGGTCCGGGAACTCCAGGTCTGCCTCAGTCTTAAGGACAAAATGTTGTGGACCCCGGATGACCGCACCGAGCCTTCCAAGGAATGGCATAGGACCTGGTCTGGACCAGGCAATGCGGACTAGGGAGGTCACCAGATGGGACCGCCAGCTGTTCTGAAGCACGTCTGGCAACCAAGGAAAAGTTTCACGATCTGCTGAGTTAAAGTACAGAATATAAACTGCATATCCAGGGCCAACTCCATTCTATGAGACAGGTTTTATATGCACAAAAAGAAGCGGCTAGAAGGAAAGGTTAACAGTGGGCTAGTGGCCGAGTTTTACTTTATCTTTCCGTTTGAGTTTCAGGATTTTCCGTGTTCTCCCACAGAGCATCACGTTCTTCCAAGGCCCAGGATCCTGAGACCTAAGACTGGGGCCGAATCGCCATCGCTACTTAGGGAACTCAGCCCCCACACCCCCACCTCAGTTTATCCATCTGTAAGACGGGGAAGCGCTCCTCTCCGCCCCTCTGAGCAAGCGGCTTTTCTCACCCTTCCCGCGCCCCGGGTCTGTGAGTGTCCGCGGCCCGGCTCCGGCAGCCCAGACCCCGCGCGCGCAGCAGCATTTTGCTCCCCTCCTCCCGCAGCACGGTCCGCAGCAGTCCGCGCTGGTTCCAGGG